GGTAAATTTTAGGATTGAGATTTTTTGATCTGAATGATTCGTTCATCTAGTAACTGTTATAATTGTTATTATATTAGCAAAGTGTTCCGTTGTATGACACGGGTATTGTTCGTAGTTATGAGATCACTTCAGTGCTGAGTAATGGCCAATATGCATAGTAATGATAATTCTATACTGAGGGGGTAACGAATAAGATGCCATTATAGTAAATGGTTCATTGCAAAGGAGCAAATTGATAAGGATATTAATTATTTTCGATAAAGTTGAATTTGATACTTACGTGGATCAAGAATAACGTTAATGAAAGCGGAATTGAATTGCATCTGATATCAATTATAATGTGAATTGCAACATTAGAAAAAGCAATATCTACCAATAATCATTTCTTTCAATGAAAAAATAAAATCCCTTTCTTGTATTATTTCTTAATGCAGGAACTAGTATTATGTCCGATAAAAATTTGCTCGGTACTCACCGTATTATCAGAATTCTGGATAAATTCACAAAGTACTTGTGAACCATCAAGATATTATTCTTTAGGAATAAGAACTTTCAAATTTGATTAGGTAGAATAATTTTATTATCAATGTTTAGAAGATCAGTTTAATGAATAAGTATAATATATAGGGATTAAAAGTTTTTGCACCAAAGTTATTATTATTTATTTACGAAAATAAAGATTCAAATTTGTATTTACTCTCAATGACATCAATTTCCGAAATTATAAATTTTTTAATGTTTTCGCAAATAAATTTTGAATATAATTTAGTATAATATTTTTGTTAAAATGTCTAAAAGAATGCAATTTTATTTTCAATAAATTTTTTTTATAATTTCGTATAAAGATCGATGCATTTTTTAGGAAGACTATTTCAGAACGCAGTATTTAACAAGTATGATGTACACTCCCCGGTCAAAAGTATTGGACCACGTGATTTTCGATACTCAAATTGATGTAATTCTATCGATCATAACTTTTGATAAAATGCATAAAAATGAACCAAATTTTTTTTCCTACATAGATAAAAGCTTTAATATTTGTATATAAATATATTTTTTTTAGTGCTAAAAATCTAAGAACTTATTGAATTTGAACAAGATGAAAAAATTAGCCTCTGGAAAGGTGTCTACAGAAAACGAAATATTATAGATATTCTTGTCCATTCTATCTCATTTTTTATTGTTTCAAAATGATGCTCATTATTGAATTTGGTGTTGTCTTCATGAAAATTATGTTATGATATAAATTATTTAATTTCTACTGTAAATTCAGGAAAATAAGACATAATAATATAGAGGTATTTTATGAAAAATAATATTGGAGTTTTAATTCAAGTTTCTGGTAAATTTTAGGTTTAAAAAAATAATCTTTTGCCTTTACTGATAAGTTGGGAATTGAGTTAGAATATATATTTTTAAGACAAAATGCATCTGTTCATTGGGCAAAGCAATTAAGCAAAATATGGTAATTCAATCTCAAATATTTTATGGTCTGCATAACCTCCTAACTTAAATACAATTGAATATCTATAGAATGTTTTGAATATAAAGGTTTGTAAACTTAACTATATCTAAAAATTCTTGGGAATTATTGGTTGTTTTTAAGGAAAAGATGGAATGAAATAGAAAGACATTTTAGAAAATTTAGTATAAAGTGTGTCGAGAAAGGTTTAAGCTGTAATGGTTATCCAACTAAATACTAATTATTTTTATAATAAGTATGTTTTTATGAATAAAATAAAAAATTTTTATGTAAAATTACTTATTAAAATTTTTTATAATTAAAAAATTAAAGTTGGCTATTAAATTTAAAAATTGCGATAATTTTAAAGTGGTCCAATAAAGTTTGTTATCTTGGAAATTTTATTTACATATAATTATAAAAATTTCTTAAAAATCCATGGAAACCATCTATGATAAATATCAACACAATTTTTTTTATTTGATTTTTGAGAATAATTATACAACTCGTATGACAAGACTAAAAATATCAGAAAGAAATATAATAAATAATATAGGTACAGTAACTTACATGATCGATCGACTTTTGATTGCGTCCAAGAATGGGGTATCCAATACGGCTCGGTCGACTATCGACTGCGCTACGTTACAAGGATGAGGGATATCCAACAGGACTCGGGTTGCGTGAACACCCACTCATGCAGCAGTTTTTGATTCACATAAGAAAAGATGGCATAGCAATTCCTTCGACAGAAAATCGCAGACCCTTATCAAGAAAACCATATTCAAGAGCAGTTGTACCGGCCTTTTCAATTGTAGATGACTGACAATTAAAGTTGGTCCCCTCATCACGTTCGAGAAGAATGTATTCCATATTAGCTCACTTCCACATTTGCCCACTTCTTCGTTGACTAATAAAATCAAGAATATTAAACATTGACGAGGTATAACGCTAATACATCACATTATTTTTTGTTTATATTTTTGTCTTGTGAATTATCATTTATCGTGAGAAAAATGAAAAAGGAAGAAGCTTTGAATCAATCTCATCGATTTAAAATAAAATTCTACATTAAAAAACAAAAAAAAAAAAAAAAAATAGGAATATCAGGTACGGAGTTCTTTACAAGTAAGATAATATCTACTAAAAGAAATATAAAAGCCGGGAGAATTTAATAAAAGGATGAGGTAATAGAAAAGATTACTTGGACATTATTTTGTGTTGAAATATATGGTACGATGGGAAAAGTGTGTTCAAAAACTTTGCCCGCTTCTTTGTTTCTTTTATAAAGAAAAAAAATCTTGTCTACATTAAAGAAGACAAGCTAAATTAAGTAAGTACACTTTGTGTGAATATTTTGTGATATAATATTTCTTTATTGTAAAATCAAGTACAATTTATAAACGCCAATTTTGGTAATCGAAAATGAGGAATATTCATTTATACAGTAGTGAAACATGATTTTTTGCATATGGCGAAACAATTTTCCTTTTTTTGAAAAAAAATACGAATAAATCAAAAGGAACTTCGACTATTGAACAATTCACTGACGGAAATTCATTAAAAAGTTTTACTCTCCTTTGATGTATCTATGTATAAATTGATATCTTTATTTATTGTTTCTTAATTGGTCACTTATCTAATTTTTTTTTTTTGAATTTGACCGCTTCTGGAAATTCGATCTCGTTTCATATAATCAGATTAGGGAGCAGTCCTCACGCACACTTTTTTTTTGATTATAAATATTTTAAAATTTTAAAAATTTTCATTTTCTACTTTATTTTTTAAAAAAAATGCTTTTCTACTTTCAGCAGGGTAAATCATAACGCAGCCGATATTTTATCTCATCGTTAATACAACCTTCGCAACCAGCAAGAAGCTCGTCAACAAAGTCTCGATAGCTTAGACTGGAACAACTTCTGCAAAGGAGCAAGGAGTATGGCTTTCCATTTCATGAATAATCTATTATAAATATTTTTCTCAGGGAGGGATGTCGTAGGTATTTTTGCTTGTCCTTGAACTACGCTTTGTCGTAGTCATTTTTGCTTGTTCTTGTGACTACGCTCTCTCTCTCTATTTCTGTAGCTTGAATATTAAATATTAGTTTAGATAGTCTTTCTTTTCATGTATCTTATTGTTTCTATGTATTTTAATATCTATATATCTTTTTCAAATATTCAATAAAAATTTTTCCAAACCTTTGCCTTTAAATATCAGTTTGCTAAAATCGAGTTAGAACATAGTAAATCATATGGTCCGTAATGTGATTTTAATTGCTTACTTCCTATTTTGTTTTCAAAATAATAAATTATATAGTTAACTGTGGTAGTGTCGCACGGGTTAGTCGCCGCTTTGCATAACTGGTATGATTTGAATTTAAAGTTTTCTTATAATAGAAAATTAAATTTCTCTCTCTCTCTCTCTCTCTTTTCTAAGATTGTTTTCATCTTGATTTAATCATTATAAATTATATAATAAACACATGTGCTAATTTTTGTTTGACTAATTTCCCAATTGTGCTCCCAAACAGACTTGTTCTTAAAATGAGATTTCATTTAGCAATAAATCACCAAAACGGCAAATCTTTCAGATATATTAAACTCATACCTTTTTACCTTTTTGAAGTGTAAACCTAACGAATATAAAACAGCCTGAAAACTGATTAGAAAATCCCTTTTGTAACATAACCGGTTAACGCTCGTAATACGATACTCTGAAGATGTATATGAAGCCAATATGCATTTACAAAAAAAAATAATAATAATAATTTCACATCTCTATACTAAATATTATGCCTAGTTGGCGCTAGCTCGAACATATTTCAAAAGACAGGAAGAAATGTTCACTGAACAATTTCCTAGTCAATTTACTTTTATTGTATGTATTGATTCAGCAATAATAACATCTTTAGGACTTTTTTTTTTTGAAATCTCACTGTCATTTATAAAAGTGATAAATGGTTGGAGTTTTCTAAATTTTTTATGATCTAAGAAGGCTTCGATCAAGAAAAGAAAAGTTCCAGCTACATTTCTTTATTTGTTAGACTATTATATAAAGATTTTATTGTAACCTAACTGGTATTTTCACTTATTATTGTACTTGTTACAGCTTGTGCTTTTTTTGCAGGTTGCTTTAGTAATAATTTTTTATTATCTTTAAGTTTTTTTTTGGCGTGTATATATATTGGTTTGGTAATAATAAAAATGATTTTTTTTTTTAAAGAAAAAAAAATCTATACTTTTTTTACTTGAAACGTTTGCTTGATTTGGTTTCTTTACAAAAAAAAAAAAAAAAATAATAAAAATACTTTAATATTTTGGTACACATAAAAGCAAATCGACCATTATGTTATTAATATCGCATCGTATATTTACACTAGCGATTGATCATTTTATTTTAAAATAAACTTCACATGCCTCTTATAATTTCTTTGAAATCAAAAATCACCTTCTGAATTTCCCAACTAACTAAACGTAGCATGGAGCGAGAAGAGAGCCTTTAGAATTCTAAGTGTTAATTTTTTTTTATTCCCAGTTTCATGTCGCAAGTTCCCTTCTTGGCACGGTTTGTCTGTCCTTCTGAGATATTGTACCAGAAACCCTCTGGAGCTAGGTAACCAGCTTCATTCGGTTCGAAGCTTTTGATTTTAAAAAAATTAATCGTACATTGAACCTCTTGCAGCTGTTTTCCAGAAACGTTTGGTTTATATATATTTTCATGGATAAAAAAAAACAGAATGTGCTAGTGAAAGACGAGAGAAGGATTGGAAAGAAAAGAGGAAATCAAAAAGGCGTGTTCGCGGCTAAGAAATTCTGCCATTCGTTGTTTTAAAGTTGGGAAAACATAAAAAATAAATAAAAATTCAAATGAAAATACCGCACTTACTTCCGAAGTAGGCCAACCCTATAAAATGAAAAAATGAAAAATTTTATAAAATATAAAAATAAATAAAATAAGTCGAATTTAAACCTAATCATCAAAAAAAAATATGTAAATAAGAAAAAACCTACCCGGAAATTCAAATCATTCAAAGACGAAAAAAAAAAATAAAACCAAAATTCATTTTCTTTACTGCTTATAGAGTTTGGTTCGATCGCTTCGAGCCGCAGTAATTGAATATATACTGTATCTTTTGAAATTATCGTCCGTCCTCAGTCTAACAATCAATTTTTTATTTTTATTTATTCTCGATCTAGCCAGATTCAAGTTTGTGTTAAAGATTTAGAGGTTGGAACCGGCCGAAATTCTTTAACCGGTTAATTAACCGGTTAAAATTAACTTTGGCCAGTATTATAAATTTTGGCCAGAGTTAGACAATATTTTGTCAATCATAAAAATCTTAATTCTGGCCGGAAATTGAATTTCGGCCGGATTTAAATTCATCTATTTTAACCGGTTAAAAAAAATCTTTAACCGGTTAACATGTTAACCTTTAACCGGTTAATTAACCGGTTCCAACCTCTACTAAGATTCTTATAAATGTAAGGCGTTTTTTAAATAGATTTGCAAAATATACGTCTCTTCATTACATTTTTAAAAAGAATTATGTTGAAACAATTTTTTCCCAAATTAAGTCAAAATTATATTGAAATTTTGGAAGATAACGAATATTATGATATTACAATTGAAGTAGGGAAAGACCCGGACGTGAAAATATTTCTTGCGCACATGAATATTTTGTATTATCGTTCTCCATTTCTTCGACGAACTTTGGATTCCAATAAGAATAATGATGGCACCCTAACTCACATTAAGTTGCCAAATATTTCACCAGAAATCTTTCAAATTATTTTGAAGTAAGATTATATAAATTGTTTTTTGCATATTAAGAATTAAGTTAATATTAAAATTAATTCTTTTTTTTTTTTTTTTTTTTGATAATTAAGATATATTTATGGAGGGATCATTTCATTAAATGAACAATGTATATCAAATGCATTAAAAATATTGACTGCTGCTGACGAGCTTCATCTACAAGAACTAGTTGAATATTTGCAAAAATATCTAATTGAAAATAAAGCCGAATTGATGGAACAACATTTTGAGCTTACTCATAAAATAAGCTTTCAATCTAAATCTTTGTTGAAACTTCAACAATTTTGCACGGATTTTATCGCTAAAACCCCCGAAAAAATATTTAAGTCGCTTGATTTTACTTCGGCTTCCGAAAAACTTTTAATTTCACTTATAGAAAGAGACGATTTACAGATGAAAGAAGTTGATGTTTGGGAGTATGTAATAAGATGGGGTCTTGAAAAAAATCCCACACTTATTCCAGATCCTATAACTTGGACGGATGATGATTTCAAAATGATGAAAGATAAATTAAACCATTGTTTACCCTTAATTAGATATTTTAGTTTATCTTCTGATGAATTCATCCAAAAGGTTCATCCATACAAAAAGCTTTTGGAACATCAACTTTATGATGAATTGTTACATTCTTATATGAATTCTAACAGCGAACCAAGCGATAATATTAAACTCCCTAGGTGTAGAAGTATCGATGGAATTATTGACACTACTATTGTTAATTTAAATATTGTTTCTATAATTTCAAGATGGATTGATAAAGTGGAAATTACAAACAAATTGGCTCATTTAAGAGAAATTTATTTGCCATATAAATTTAAATTATTATTGCGAGGAAGCCGAGATGGATTCAATCCTAAAAAATTTCATGAATTATGTGATAATATACTTTATACAGTTACCTTCATTAAAGTAAGAGATACGAAAGAAATTCTTGGAGGATATAATCCTTTAAAATGGCAATCTTCTGGTAATTATCATAAATCAAAAGATAGTTTTATATTTTCTTTTAAGAATAAGAATAATTTCAAAGATCCAATCTTAAGCCGTGTAAGGTTTACAAATATGGCAATTTATTGTTGCGATTGGTACGGTCCCTCATTTGGTAGTGATCTTTGTTTAGAGAATTTTAAAGAAAATGTTTATGAAGATATTTATTGCAAACAACAGGGATATGAAAAAAGGATAAGAGATACTGAATATTCTTCAATAGAAGATTATGAAGTGTTTCAAATTTTTTAAGTAATACATTTAATTAAAACAAATTATTGTCATTTCAAAAGATATTATAGTAGAGGTAATAAAATTAAATCGTGGTTTAAAATAAGATTTGTACAAGTATTTATGTAAAATAAGTAGAGTAGATTTTACATTTTTGAAAATTTCTAGTTTTTTTTTTATTTTTATTGATATTGTTGTATATTTGAGCAGGTATATATTAAATTTCAATATATCTTTTTATTGATAAATTATTATATCATTATATCGTTTTTTTACAAAATTAAATTTTGGGTTATAGATATTACATTTAATCGGATAAATTTAAATATAACAAAAAACCTTATCAACTAATTATTCTATATAATTTATCAAGAGAATATCAATCCAAAAACTTTATAATTACAAGGTTAACAAAGTGATATAATACTGCATCATATATAATCATATATTATATCATTTAGTAATTTGTTTTGTTAGATGTTTGATAATAACTTATCATTTTTCATTTAATGAATCACTTTTTTGTGAAGGAATAACAGCTTACAAACTCGCCTAATTTTATAAGTTTATCATCCAGTCAAAAAAAATTCAAGTAAAATTAATGTTTATTCTAAGTTTTTATTTTTGTCACATCTAGAGGGATGATAACGGTCGGTCAACGGTCGGTCAAAGGCCTTTGACGACCGACCGGTTTAAACTCGTTTGAACGACCTTTTAATAGTAATATAATTGAGCAGTTTTGGCTTAACAGAAATTTTAATTTAGCCAAATATTATAATTTTGATTCTTGCTTTAACAATTCTAGCATGGCATCTTTTAAGTCATTTTTATTTAACGGCGCAGTATTATCGCCGACTTTAATTTTTTTTAAATAAAATGTTGATTTTGTTTATTTAACACAAAATGTTAACAAATTTTAGATAATGTCTTTGCGAAGTTGAACATGGTTGTTCAGACTCAAGTTAGTCGGTCAACGGGTCGGTCAGAAGCCTTTGACCGACTGATATCGGTCATGACCGTGACCATACGCATCCATATTCACATCAATAAAATGTCATATTCAATTTCACTTGGGTAAACTCTCAGCTAAGGTAATTCATTGCATTGTTATTGCATTTCCAATATAAGTTTTGAAATCCATTATTGCAAAACGAACCCACCACAAGATTTTTTCTAATAAATATTGAACAACTTAAGGTTGAGTGATAATTATTTTTTTTCCGTCATGAATAAAGATTTTGAATTTAAGGATCGGATTTCTAAATGAGAAAATTATTATAAATAACTTTAATACGTTATTCATAGGAAGACAAAAATAGATATTTGGAATGGTGAGTTTAAGAGATCCTAAGCAAAGAAAATACCACCAAAAAATAAGTATTAACATTTACAAATTCTTAAAAGAAAGATTGCAAGGGCTTATGTATAATAGCAATCAATCTGGTTTGTGATATGCCTGATTCAATAACAAGATTTATTGGTTTCGTTTCCTTACCAACACCATTTAGTTTAAATACTTTGTAGTATTCGATGGGCCACGTTTTGGAGATACCGATCTTTACAAAGATTACAATATAATATATTGCAAAAAGTGTGATTATGGAAAAGCAAGAATGAAATGATATCTGTTTATACTATGTTTTTTTTGTGCTGTAATTGGTAAAGTTCTATGATAATTAATAGTAATTCATATTTATTTATTTAATGATATTGTCATTAAATCTGTTAATAAACTACAATACATCCATTTTTACATGTATTTATGTATCATCAGATTTGAAGAATAATTGAGACATTAAGTATTTTATTGACATAGGTTTTTAGATAGGAAGATGTAGATGTTGTATTATTTTCTTAAATTTTTGTGAAAGAAGCTGAAAAAAATGTTAACAAAGGTTTTAATATATATCCTAAAACATATTCAACAAACAACTAATATTCTAAAAATTTTTATAAAATTCTATTCATATTAAAAGTTTACTATGCAGTACTTACTTCTTTTTACTTACCTAGAAACCATTTGTAATACTCTTTTAAAATAGCTTAACAAAAAATTAGAAATTCTAACAAATATAAAAAATATTTTTGATTTAATTTGACCTTAATTACATAATAATGATTAATGATATAGATTAGTATTTATAATAGTATTATATCTGAAATTAAAATTTCATTTTTAGTTAACTAATCTTTGAATTGAATACCTAAAGATTATCTGAATTCTAACTTTAAACAAAAATCAATTTTAGTTATAACAAGATAATCAATTTTTTGATTAAAAATGATATATTCTGTTCAAATTTATATAATGTTAGATGTATTACTGAAATACATATAAATGATAATGATATTTGCAAAGAAAATTATCTTTATTAGTTTTAGAGATTTATAACATTGTGATTTATATAAAATTAGTATATTATAATGATTGAATTATCAATTTTTTTTTAAAAAAAAGCTTTATTTAAGACAAATAATATAAAAATTAATGTATTAACAAATTAAATTTATTATTCTTTTATATTAATAAATTTTTTTCTTCTATTAAATAAATTAAAAGGCAAATTGCTAGTTTAAATTTAATAATCTCAAATTTTATTTTTTGATAAATTTCATAATTTATGATATTATTCTTAAAAAATTTTAAATAAAATAAATATTATAAATAATGAGATAATTAGATTTTACTTTTTTCATTTACTCAATAATATTTGAAGACAAAATATTTTAAAATTTAATCCTTACTATTATAACATTATTCTATTATATTTGATAGATTATATTTAATTTAAATAGTT